TTTAATAATGAGCTCGGAACCGCACCGAAATGCCCTGCTGAAGGTCTTGAGCGAGGCGCACGTACCTCACACAATATCTCAAGAGAAAGTCGAGAGGATCATCGGTCACATTACGTCAAGCGATCACCTTGCCTTCACAGAGGAAGAACTCCCTCTCGAAGGGTCAAAGCACAATAAGCCCTTGCATATTTCAGTCAAATGCAAGGAATACCTCATTGCCAAGGTTCTTGTGGATAACGGGTCGTCCTTGAATGTAATGCCCAAGTGCACGCTGGATAAGTTAACTATCCAGGGGACCCATCTGCGCCCAAGCAGCACCATCGTTCGAGCCTTCGACGGATCAAAGCGTGAAGTAGTGGGAGAAATTAAGTTGCCAATTCAAGTGGGACCCACTATCTTCGATGTCGATTTCCATGTAATGGACATAACTCCAGCATACAGCTGTCTCCTCGGCAGGCCTTGGATTCATGACGCTAAGGCAGTACCTTCGACGCTCCACCAGAAAGTCAAATTCATAATGGACGACAAATTGGTCACGGTCCAGGCAGAAGACGATATCCTGATCAGTGGACCGTCCACCCAACCCTATGTGGATGCAGCCGAAGAGGCCCTTGAAACATCTTTTCAAGCGCTTGAAATCGCCAGCATAGAGCGACTTCCCAGAAACACCAAGATAGCCCGTATGATGATGAAGCATGGCTACCATCCTGGCCAAGGACTGGGGGCAGATTCCCAAGGAATGAGGGAACCCCCAGAATTCAAAGACAATCCTCACAAGTATGGCCTAGGATATAACCCTTTCAAGGGACGAGCAAAAGGGAAGTCTCCCCTTCGCACACTCAAGCAGATTTTCCGAAGTGGAGGGGTGCAAGCGTCGAGAGCCACTCTAGTCATTAGGAAATCTTTTTCTTTGTTTAAGGGATGTAAACCCCATGATTGTTAGAGACTATCCCCCGGGGCGAGCCCGACCCCCGGGCATTATAGGGCGCATATTCCTTCATTAATTAAATAAGAATGATTCTTTCTATCTGCTTCTCTTCTTCCTGCTTTTGACTGGACCACATAAATAACCCTGTCTAAGTAAGAAAAAAAAAAGAAAAAAGAAAAAAAGAATAAGAAGCGCTTCCGAATGATTGAACCGTTGCTCTCATCATTAAGTTAGCTGATTAGAAGCACATAAAAATAAAGACTTCACCTAAACCATAAAAGAAAGTCACGCTTCGCCAATACTGTGAACAAAAAAATAAATACACAAAAAAAAAGCCCAGAGAAGCCAAAGGCCAAAGAAAAGGGCAAATTACCCGGTAGGAAACCCACTAAGGGGGCTACACAAAAGTTAGGGTTACAAATAAAGGTCCGCTAGGATTTCTCCGAAATTTTACAAGAGAGCAAACCTAGACAAAAGTAAGGGCCAACACACAGTATCCTAGTTCGAAAACCCAAAGGGCGATCTAGGGAAATCAACTAGCTATCTAAAAAGCGATGGAAATAAAACCAAAGAGCGCTAATAAAAGCAAATACAAAAAGAAAGAAAGGGAAAATGTTTGCTTAGACAAAGCTTAAACACCCAGGCTTAACCCTTTGCCAGCCATTCTTACAAATTCTTTATCAATAAAAAAAATCAACCCTCTAAAACACAAACCATTGATTTTTATCCCCTTTGCTTCTTTTCTCTTGACCCTCACGACAACATTCTAATAATTAATTTGGGAATATGGAGGCGTATAGTCAACAAGAGGATTGAAATCCCTAAAGCAAGGAAAAAGGGACACTACATGACAAAAGAGCTCTACAAAAGCAAAACAAAAGAAAAACAAAAGAAACAGAAAAGAAAGAAAGAAAGAAAGAAACTACTCTTCGGTCACAAGAAAGTCCGGCATGGTACAGCCAAAAGGCAAGCACAGCGAATCAAGAAGGCTTTCAGTGCAACCAGACACGTTGGTTAAATCCTTCTGAAATATTAACCAAAGTAGACATTATAGGACATCAAACATGAAAACATTTGCATGCATAAAATGTTTTTGAACCAGGTCCTATTTCTTATACAAAAAAAAAAAAAAAGATCTGCAAATTCGAGACCGCCGTCTCGACTTTGCAAAGTCGAGACCGCCGTCTGGATTATCGAGACCGCCGTCTCGATTTGTTAACCAAACGAGACCGCCGTCTCGACTTCCCAGACGGCGGTCCCGAACTGAAAAATATCCTATATAAGGGGGCGTGCGGGATGGGGTTCCTCACACTCCTCCTTGCTCCCTAAGCCTCCAGAACCTCCAAAAAACCTCTTCCAGACTCTCTGTGCTCAAAATGTTTGGCAGAAGCGCCTCCAGGAAGAGAAGGGGCACCTCCGGTGCTAGTAGTTCGGCACCACCGCCACCCTCAGACCCTTCTCAGCTTCAACCACAGCACCAGGCCCGCCTGGACAACCTCAGAAATTACCAGTGGCACTCCATGCTGACACTGGATTTTGGCATCCTGGCTGAGTTTGGATGGGAAGAGGACGTCCGGGCACATATAGATAACATTGGGTGGAGCTTCCTGCTACAACCCCCACCCACTCATGTGTACCCCCAGGCGGTACTTGAATTTCTGGCCTCGGTCACTCTCATAGAGATTCCCTCCATGGCCTCCGGCATGCAGCCCACCAAGATGGTCACTTATTTTATGGGTGGGCAGTACCACACTACTACCTTAGAGGAATTCAATGTCTCCATCGGATTCATCCGGCCCGAGGAAGCGCAATCTCGGGAGTACCGTGAGGCCATATGCTCCAGGCCCACCAACCTTACCGCTGCTGAAATGTGGCATGAGCTCACTGGGGCCACCACATTACCATCATTGATGAGGGGATCTGCACTCCCCGCACCACTCCGCATCTGCCACAAGCTGCTGGCAGGCACCATCCACGCCAGGAAAGAGAGTCAGGGGAAAATATCCCTCCCTGACCTCTTCGTCCTCCATTGCATGCACCAGAGACGGCGCTGCAACCCCGGGTATTTCCTCCTGAGGGCCCTGAAGGACTTCGGGAGTAGATCCGCAGGGGCCATCCTTGTGGCTCCCCTCATCACCCCTCTAGCAGAGAGAAGGGGGTGCCCCGGCCGGGAAGAGCTGGCCCGCAACCTGCGGCCTGAGCCCATCAATGGGCCAATGATGGTCAGCATGGGGATGCTGATCCGTCAGGGAAGCCATTTTGCCCTGCACCCCACCCTGGATTTTGAGCTTGACCTCCGGGGAATAGTGGCAATGCAGGATGCGCCCACATCCCCTAGCTCCCAGCAACAACAACAACAGCAACAGCAACAGCAACCACCACCACTGTACACAGAGGACTTTGCTGGCCTCCACCAACACATGGCCGACATAAGCCAACAGCTTGGCCAAATGTCGATATGGCAGGAGCAGCAGAACCAGTGGCGGCAAACCCAGGAAACATACCGACAGGCCTTTCAAGAGCGCCAGGACGAAATCTATCAAGAACAGCAGAGGATGCGACAAGAGTGGACGGCGTTCCAAGAGGATTACAACGACGAAATCCAGGAACAGACCGACTTCCGCTACAACATGTACAAATATTTTCCCCACCGCGCTCCTTCTGATGATGATAACGACTCTTAGGGACTGTACGGGCTAAAATAGGGGTTGCTGTAATAAAATTTGCTATAAATAAAATTTTATTTCCCGCATTCTTTGCCTCTTTTACAAAAGCCAGCGTAACCAACAAAAAGAAGCTTAAAAAAGGAAAAGGCACATGCTTAATAAAAAAGCCAAAATCCAAAAATCGCGAGAAAAAAGAGATAAAACCGCGAGAAAAAAGGCAGGATAAAAGACTACCTCAACAAAAAAAAATCGACTACCAAGCGAAAGTCGAACACAAAGAGAAAAAAACCGATCATCCAGCAAAAGTCGGATAATTGCCAAACAAAAAGCAAACATCCACCCGACTAACCAGCAAGAGTCGGATAACCACCACAAAAAGTCAAAAGAACAAAAAATCCCCAGCAACTAACGACGCTGGATGAACGAACAAACCAAATTTCCAGCAACCCGGAGGACCACTCCAGAAAGGTCAAACCACAAAACACAGAATTCACTCCTCCAGAGAACCGGCGCATGATTAGAATCAGTAAGCCGCCACCATTGCCAAAGGGTCAGCCACCGCAAGAAGGGGCATCCAGAGGCACATAACCAGACGGGGGTTCATACTCGTCAGCCAAGGGGTCAGCTGCCGTGTCAAAGGAGCATCCCAAGGTTTCACATCGGCGCATGATTAGAATCAGTAAGCCGCCACCATTGCCAAAGGGTCAGCCACCGCAAGAAGTGGCATCCAGAGGCACATAACCAGACGAGGGTTCATACTCGTCAGCCAAGGGGTCAGCTGCCGTGTCAAAGGAGCATCCCAAGGTTTCACATCGGCGCATGGTCAGAATCAGTAAGCCGCCACCACGACTAAAGGATCAGCTACCGCAAGATGGAGCATCCGGAGGCTAAACACCAGATGGGGGTGTGAACTCATCAAGCCTTACAGAAGGGGGCTTACCAGGCGGGGGTTCGTACTCGTCAAACCAGATGGGGGTTCGTACTCATCAAACCAGATGAGGGTTCGTACTCATAAGTCGAAGGGGTCAGCTACCGCATCGAAGGAGCATCCCAGAGGCGCACAACACGACATCTCCCCAGAAGATCATCCGCCACAAAGACGGAGTATCCGAAGGGAAACCGGGCAAGAGGGTCAACTCCTTTACCCTCCAGTCGATCACCTCGGCACAAAAGGCCAGCAGTCGACTGATCGGGTAAAGGGGGGGCAACTGTAGACCCCGAATCTTGCCCGGCCTCCGAATAAAGTCAGAAAGCTTCCTATTTGAAGACGGCCGAAGCCTAACAAGCCACTAGGAGAGACTATTAGGCCTCCGTACCAAGATAGGAAGGTTTTTTGCCCAAAAAATAAATTTCTCGCCTTGAAGGGACGAGATCGCCGTCTGGGAATACCAGACCGCTGTCTCGTTTCAGCGCCAGGACGAGACCGCCGTCTCGATTTTCCAGACGGCGGTCTCGTCACTCGCAAAAACGAGACGGCGGTCTGGGTTTTCCAGACGGCGGTCTCGATTTCTGCTTAGACGAGACGGCGGTCTCGTTTTTCGAGACGACGGTCTTGTTTTTCGAGACGGCGGTCTCGACTTGCTGACATGAACGAGACGGCGGTCTTGTTTTTCGAGACGGCGGTCTCGACTTGCTGACATGAACGAGACGGCGGTCTCGACCCTGTCAGACGAGACTGGCGGTCTGGACCCTGACAGCGCGAAAAACTATAAATAGGGGCTCTCCCCCCCTCATTTCCACACAAAAAAGCAAGAGCTCTCCCTTCTCTCTAGATTTTCTCTCTCTAAGAATCCCTCCGAGGCATTTCGGAGCTTCGAGTGTCTTTAGGCATATACAGAGTGTCCTAAATCTTCTTTAGAACCCCTCCGAGGCATTACCGGAGTTTTCTGAGAGTTGTAGAGCGAAGGGTTGCCAAAACGCACCCTCTTTTTATATATAAAGCTTGCTTTGGAGGTGCATATCCTCATTCTCTTCTCTTTAAAATTACTGCTATTTAAATTATGCAATAGAAGCTAGGGCAATGTAGTCACATATTTAAATTCTGCATAATAAAAAGGGTAGAAGCGCAATTTTCCAAGTTTAATTATTTACAAATAGCCGGCCTATCATAGGGAACCCGAAAGGGGCGTCGCAAAGGGACTAATACTCCCTTTGCACGTAACTAACTCCCTTACCCAACTCTGGTTCTAATGACCAAAGTTGGTTTTCAAAAACCAATGCCTTTTAAAACCCCTTTTCCGATGTTTATGGTAAAAATATCGGTGGCGACTCCATAGAACCCAAAATAAATAAGTCCTTGGGTTAGCCCGGTTGTCGGACAACTCAAGGACACTTTTCGAAAACCTCGTCTCCATATTAGTTCGGTTATCGGACAGCCTGAAGACGTTGTAACCACCAATAAAAAACGCGAAAACAAGAGGGTCGATAAAACCATCGCGTCGCTCTGACCGCCTCGTTTTGACGGCGGCGACAATGGGCCTAGATATAATGTTATAACTTGGCAAGGGTATGACATTAACAAATACTCATTCTATACGAAGGCACAAGATGACAAAAGTACAGTCCAGAATAGTGGAGTATCTATTGAGGCAACATCTATGCACTTTTCTAGTGCAAAGGACAAAAACCCCATCATGGCATCAATTAGTTACTTTGGAGTCATTGAGGAGATTTGGGAGGTCGACTATACTAAATTCAAAGTGCCTTTATTTAAATGTAAATGGGTTGATAGCAATACTGGTGTCCAAAGAGACCAAATGGGATTTACTTTGATTGATATAAACAAGATTGGTCATAAGGAAGAACCCTTCATAATGGCATACCAGGAACAACAAGTGTTTTATGTCACTGATCCATCAAATGATAGGTGGCCAGTTGTCCTCAAAGGAAAATGATTGATGTCACAAATGAGAATGGAGAAGAATTAGATGATTTTATTAACATTCAAAATTCACCACGATTGCCTATTGCTATATCCCAATTGGAAGAGGACTTTGTTCATGCTACTCGCAATGACCATGATGAAGGCATATGGGAAAATATTAATACAATCTAAGTTATGTTTCTATTTGTTTATTTTTTTAACATGTAATTGAGGAGACTTTGCATGTGTATTGATATAATTCTATGTTTTTTTCATTACAGGTAAATGGCATGTCCTTCACCATCTCCTCCACCATCTCCACCATCTCCACCACCATCTCCTCAGGCATCTGGAAAGACATTTTCCAGTAAGAGGAGTCGACAATCTACACAGTTGAAAGGCTTGACCGTTAGACACATATCCGGCCGGAAGTTATATGTGTCGTTGATCCTAGGGCTGGCAAGGTGTCGGGTCCCTTTAGTACCCAATTTAGTAGCTAATTGGGTACACTAGCTAGAGAGAAGGTATTTATTCTATTTCAAAGTTAATTTCATTTCAAATATATTGTTGATACTTATGTTGTTTATGTTATGTAGATATCTATTCTCCATCCTACTTGGGATCATGTGGAGGAAACTGTGAATAACTTGTTATGGCAAGATCTTCTTGTAAGTATGTGTATTTAGTTGTTTATATTATTTATACATTATTATCAATTGGTTAACTAAAACTTGTTTGCTATCTGTAGGAACACTTTGATATAGTCAATTCGAGGATGTGAGGAGGAAGATAATGACAGCCATAGCAAAAATGTGGAGACAGTTCAAGTCCACATTGACCACTAAATGGGTGTATGCTGAGGACAAAGTTAGGAAGGGATTAACCCCTTGCCAAAGATATGGCATAGATGAGGACACTTGGAAGAAGTTTGTACATAGTAGGACTGGTTCAGAGTGGGAGGTAATGTTAATTGCTTAATTGACTTGAACATTTTATAATGAGTTGTGTATCTAATATTGTGTTCAATTATGTTGCGGGAAAGAAGACAAAAAGCAAAAGACATTCGGAGCAAGAATGTCGCCCCCACCTTCGTCTCGTGGTGGGTACGACCTATTGACAAAGAAGATGATGGAGGAGAGGATGAGACTTCGACGGTCGGAGTTAGCCTCTTCGGTTTAAGCGAAGAGCAGATTCCTCCACCATCTCCTCCAAAACGTCACCAGAAGTGGAAGAGGGCTCGTACAAAGCCTTCGGTGACATGACATCGCAGGAAGCCGAGAAATTGCTGCTCGGATTGTAAGTAAAAGAAGTTAATTTACTTTGAATTAGTTATATGTAACTTGTTCATTAATAAAATTAACTTTTATAATGTAGGATGCCTTGGAGGAGCGGTGTACACGGGGAACTTTCATCCCTTACGGTCGTCGGGATATCTTGACCACTTGCTATTGGACGACGAGAACATCCAGGTCGTGTTCGAGCTGTTGGCCAAGGTGTGGGTGTCCGACGGTATTTTGGACCACCATCACGGGATATCCGCACCTCCACATCCTCGAGCCAAGAAGATATTGCTTGCCTTGGAGATGGATCTTACGAGAGAAATTGACACCGGCCATCGGGGCAAAATTGGAGGAAGAGTTGACTCCTGCCATCGGCGCACGACTTGAGGAGACCATCATTGCACGTGTGCGGGAGCGATTCCTGCGTATGACCTCCATGGGTACTTCATTTGCTTGATGCTCATCCTCCATCGAGTGCATTTTCAACCACAAATTGGTACTTGACTTATGTTTCTAAAATCTTAGTCCTTATTGGAATTTACTTGTATTTGTAGGTCCAAGAGTTAGCACAAAGGGAAGTTGTCTTGAAGCCACTATCGAGGTCACACACGAGGTGGCATCTATTCATCCTGAATCCACAAAGGATGATCGATATGGCTTGTGGGTTGAGGTAGATGAAGGTCTAAGGCTAGTGGCCCATGGATCAGTTCATGAAGGGGCTTCAACCATCCACAATGTGCCTTTGGATCCTAACTTGGTCAAATTAGTAGTTGAAAAGGTTGTTGACGTTGTGGCTAGTGTCCCTATCCCCACTGAAGAGGTGCAGACAGTGGGCCAAGCCCTTCAGACCTTCATTACTTGGCCCCGACATTTAGTTAGGTCAATCATGGCAAAGGTATGTATATGTATGGTTATAATACATCTAACACATAAATAAATTGATTTATTGTTTATGATTATATTTTATAAAATATGTAGGATGTTCGGCGGCCAAAAGACTTGGGTAAAGCTATTGCAACTCCTTACGCATCTAAGGAGAAGACACCGGTTGTGGAGACTTCTCCAAATCCAATTTTTGATCTCTTGTCTCTTTCCCCACAATTGTATCTGTAGTCATTCCAAGTTCCATGGGATTGTACATTATTTGGGATGGCTTCTAGCAATATCCCCCTATACATTTCCCACATTGATGCCACTGGAGATTGGGATGGGCAATCAATGTCTAAATATAGGTTGTTTTACAATTTTGGACATTGTAAGTTCATATCTTTCATGACTCTTTTCATTTTAGTAAATATATAAGCTATAAGTTCACTTAAATTGGCATATTTTAGGATGATGCACGAAATGATAGTGGAGCGGGGCATTGGTCATGTGTATGGATTCTTCGAGCCTCAATCCATACAAAAGTTTGGGAATAAGCGTGATCAAATTCTTAGTTACATGCGAGAATTGGATGATTTGTTTCTAAAAGAGATATTTACCTTGGAGCATACCATCATTCGTAAGTTATCCCAGCCTCTTCCGGTTTTACACAAGTTTTTTTATGAGATTCTAATCATGTGTATATACGAAACCACTTGGCGGCTATTAGTTATTTGTCCAAAGCGAGAATCTTGTGTGTTGGTTACTGCTCATTGGGAAGAAAACCGACATGGAGCTAAAAAATATTGTAAACGAGTAAGTATTTATTATATTATGTCTAAACATCTTGATTATTCTATTTCTAAGCCCCTTCTTTTCAATATATAGTGCTTTAAAGGTTTGTAGTACATTAGATGGCAAACACACAAGTAAAAGCACGGCTCCAAATTGGAATTTTATCAAAGTAAGTAGCCTTTATATATATTATACTATCTATTAATTTACGTTCAAATTTAATAGTTATTTTTAACATATTTAGTCATTTTTAGTGTAACAAACAAAATGGAGGCTACGAGTGCGGCTACTATGTAATGTATTGGATGTGGCTCATCATTTTTGGTAGCATTCAGGATAGTTGGAATGAGGTAAGTTGACATTTGCTATTATATTCAATTCCTTTATTTTTATTACTTAGGTTTTACCATTCTATTATTGTGAACTTCTTACTGGCATTTAAAGATATAGAACCTTTGCCTATGGATACTATAGACATGGTTAGAAACAAATGGGCAGAAAAGTTTGTACAAGTAGTTAGGAATAGGATTGATTGATAATTTTTTGTGTAATTATGTACATAATTTGGCTGATTTTCACACACACACACACATATATATATATATATATATATATATATATATATCATTTTATATATACTTGTCTGGTGAAATAAATATACTATGCTGGATTGAGATTATATCGGGTCGTGTAAGGTGGCACAAAAACGAGACCAACTTTTTTAAAAAAAAGGGATATTCTACGTCGGTTATTGCATTAGCAGACGTTGTAACAAATATACAACATCGGTTATGGCATTAAACGACGTAGTATATTCGTTACAACGTCGATTAATGCAATAACCGACGTTGTATATATAACTTTCAACGTTGGTTAGGTGAATAGCAGAGCGTAGAATTTACTCATTTCTACGACGGACATTTGCTTAGCAGACGTAGATGTCTAACACTTTCAACGTCGGGTATTACGAGCAGAGCGTAGAATCCTTTGACATTCAACGACGTCTGATTCAACGACGTCATTGGAGCCGATGTTGAATGCCTTCTACACCGACGTTGAATGCTCATTACGTAGTAGTGTTTAAGAGCGGTTAAGATGTTAACCGCTCTTAAAAGTGAACATATGATAGCGGTTCCACCTTAACCGCAATCTAAAGTCTCGATTATTTGAATATATTTTGATGTAAAATTATATATATATATATATATATATATATATATATATTCTAAAATATAATTTATATTAATTACTATAATATAAAATATATATTCCACAATATAACTTATTTTCATTTATATATATATATATATATATATATATATATATATATTATAGATATTAAAATAAATTATATATTAGAATATATAATTTTTCAAATGATCGATTATTTTTCCAAATGATCGATCACTTTTTCAAATAATCGAGACTTTAGATAGCGGTTAACGTGGAGCAGCTATCATATCTTCACATTTAAGAGCGATTAAAATGTTAACCGCTCTTAAAAGTGAACATATGATAGCGGTTCCACCTTAACCGCTATCTAAAGTCTCGATTATTTGAATATATTTTGATGTAAAATTATATATATATATATATATATATATATATATATTCTAAAATATAATTTATATTAATTACTATAATATAAAATATATATTCCATAATATAACTTATTT